TTTCGTTTCTACCTGATGAAGGGTCACGTACGCTGTTTTGAACTGGCACTTCGTTGACCGATGACATCGCGTTTCGCATTCTCCTATTGACATTCCAGAGCGTTTTTATCGGAGTCTCCCGCGTTAACTCTTTGACGAACCGAAGCAAGTAACCGCGCTTTTTTAGCTTTGATCAAGTTCTTTAATTTTTTTTCTAAAGGTTCGAAGTATTCAATCGAACCGTGCTTACGAAAATGTTTCAACGTGGCGGACTTCCATTATTCGCGTCGGTACATTCCTTATCCCACCACGATTACACATATCATTAAAATTAAAACAGGATAAAGCATCCTCCTCCTGCGTAGACAAAAATAAAAGTATATGAACCTAAGCCAACCAATTAAACACCCCTAAACTGACTACCTAGTTTATGAATAGCTCCTAAAATATTACAAAAAAAAAAAGAAAAATGTGAATAAGGTGTGGTGCTCGAGGAGTTAACAATTAAATGGCCGAGTTACAACAATATATGAGACAGGCCTGCCCAACGTTTTTGAACCTCGGTCTAAACCTTAGAATCCATATCAGCCTGCAAGCCAGAAATTTTCATTATACGTTTGAGTCGGATTTTACGCGTTTTTTTACACGGTACATTTTGAAAAATTTTCCAATCAGATTTTCTGATTTTGGCCGAAATTAATAAAATTGCGCACTTAAAACAATTTTTTTTGTGTGAATCCAAATACATAACATAAAATGTGTTTATTTACATTACATGAGCTGTCAGAATCCAAACATTTGAAAATATTTTTTACAATCATTTTTACACTATCAGAAGCTTTTGTGTCATATAACAAGCATTACTAAACTAAAGTATGAGCATAAGCATGAGCATGATTGACCGCCCACGGTTGCTACTCTGTTATTTCCAGATCAGCTGTAATTACACAGAGAACCAATAGATGATGCTTGGGACTGGCAATCATCATCAATATGTAAAAACAGGTGATCTCAAACTAGGCAATACCAGTTCCGGCCGCGCCCGAACACAGGTCAAGAAAGGAATGGGTAGGAATGTGTTGACGTGACACTCGCTTTGATGGAAGCCGAGAACACCTCTGCACTTCCACGAGGAATCACTGGGATATTGGGTAAGAGGGTTTGGATTGCAGCAGGGTTCGTTTTGGTGAACGATCAGCTGAATTGATATAACTGCTGAGTAATCAAAAAAGTTTGCCACTAGCCAAACCAGCTCCTTTTTAATCATCGAGTTGCTGTTATTACTATGTAGTCATATTAACAAATAAAGTGATTGACGAATCTTGAATGAGGAGGGGCCTGAGATTAGACTCATAATGTTCTGCTCAGTAAGCAAAAACGATCGCTCTAAAGCCATCGAGCTCCTCATATTACATCATATCTTTACTCGAGTTGTTGTAACCATTCAAACCCGACACCGACGACGACAAGTTTCGCAACATACACGATAAACAAACGATTTGACCATATTTTTTTTATATGAAAGGACCTGGGACCTCGTTTTCTGTTCAGTAAGCAAGCCACTGCAACCGACAATCTTTCAAATCCGAAAACTAAAAGCTACGAAAAAGCACTCAGGCCTTCATTGAGTTCCACTTTCAAGCGACGTTCAATGTTTCGATTTGCTCTTTACTCAGGCTATCGTGCCTCTTACATCATAACAAGCTATGACCGACGTAACGATTGTTAAGGCCCTTATTAAACAAGATATTAAAATGAAATTACGTTCTCGAGAGTAGTCAATAATGTATCCTAAACTGGATCAAGCAGGCACTCTTTTTTTTAAATATTCCGAAGCGTTCCGCTCAAGATCTTACAGGCACAATTTTCTACAATAGCGGCCTGCGATAAATCGTAATGTATATTCCCCACAAGACTCAACTATGTTCTTGCACTCGGATGCATACCTTACCAACAGTATCGGTTGTCTTATGTTCTGTATCAAACCGCAAAATAGATCACGCGCGATCGAGGTCATCGCGCCAGGAAACAAAAGGATTGTTTTTAACTGGAACAAGCTCACCAATTACAATCACCATTGCAGCACCAACACAAACTTAAACAAAATTGGAAAATTTCGAAAAGTAATATGTAATAGGAAAAAATATATACACCACATAAAAACACATAAACAGGATAATGGCACTCTTCCTAGTACAAAAACTACCATCATAAAACCTTCATTGAACTTTTTGAATCACAACACATTATAAACAGCGACAATTATAACCGATCCAAACAGTTCTAAAACTGATTAATCAAAATAATCAGCGGAATACGCGTAATATTCTGAACGTCCACTGTAGTCACAATGTTCAGAAATAATAATAAACTTTTGTCAACAACCCACCAAAATCGTACAACACGAATGAAGGTCACCGGTGAAACTATGCTCGATTTACGGTGCGGTAAGATTGGTGCCCAATTATGCGTCAAACTACCGCATCAAAACCACCAAATCAGACAATCAGACCCGACCCACCATGACTACTGTCAGTCTTCAACCACGGCTCGATGATCGTGTTAAAGACACACCTAACAACACATCAAAACTAATCGGTTCGAGTGCCAAGCTTGCATGTTCGACCACGACATTCATTTTCTTAATGAATCATGCTTCAACATGAAAAAAAAACATATTGCATTATTCGTAGGAACCTAACCGTAAAAACCGAGGAACATGTCTCTTGTGATCGAGGTCATCCCTCTGGCAAATGGGAGACGATGAAAATAAATCTTGATAACTCCCCCCGAAGGAACACATCCGGTCCTGCAAACAATGCATCCGTTCCCAATCCGGCGTAACCGGCATCCCGCCCACGCATGCCAATATCACCAAAAGATAGGGGGAATTTTCCGCTACCTGTTAGCGGCGCCAACACGAGCATGCGATACACCAACCACACCAAACCGACCATCGAATCGAATCGAATCGAATCGAATCGAATAGAATCGAATCGAATCGAATCGAATCGAATCGAAAATGCAATCGAGAAACGTATAAGAACAATCTTCAACTGGAACGTACTCACCAAATCAATATATCCGGGAGCGCATTCCCGATGCCTCCACGCATATTTTTCTCTAGTCATTATACACAATTCCTTCTCCACCGATTCCAACCACACAATGACAAGATAGGGGAAATGGCTCTAATGTTGGCCTATGGATCTAAGATTGGGCCCATCGCTAAAAATCTGCTATTTATCAATTTTATCTAAAAGAACGAGTAATTGGGACGGTACTAATGGATATTTTTGGTCGCTATTGAAAATTTAGTCGATTGCTGAATTTATGTATGGGTCCAAATTAAGGCCAATTATGCCGACATTACTTCCATTTCCCCTATCACTTTTCTTATTCAAATCACTCTGTGCACAAAAGCAATCCACAAATCAAAAAACCTAACAATAGATCAGGGCGAAGGAGTCACCTAAGCAACCAGCACAAACTTTTTCAGATCAAATTTTCGCGCCCAGGGCACAAAACTAATCAAGTGCTAGCACCGAAAAACTCCACGCCAACACAAAGCAGGCTGAGCTCAAAAAAATAAATAAAAATAAAAGCCCGCAGTGGAGCAAAACGAACGAAGCATTTTCGAACGATTCTCAAAGCGAACCCCAAGCTCTTTCACGCACCTTATAGCGCGTAAATAAAGTGAAATTAAAAATTATCACTCGCGATGCCACAAATTTCTGGTCCATCTCTTCTGATGCTTGCAAATATGATGAATCACGTTTTCTTTCTCGATTCTTAAACTTCCCGGAAAGCGAGAAAACCACCAATCAAACACTTAAAACCGTCCGGGAGACAGAGTGCCAGCGCTTATCCGGCAAATACGCCAAAAACTATGAAAGCGAACGCACGCACAAAACATAGAGCAAACATAAAACACAACCGTATCCGAAGGGGTTCAAAACTGCACTCTCACATTAAAAACTGCTAAACTAAATAAAGAAATCATAGAAAGGATCTGCCCAAGTATCTCACTACCATCACGAAAAGATGCAGCAACTTGATTATGACTTAAATAAATCATATAGATGTTTCCGCAACTGGATTATACTAGCGTGCTATTAGGGTTCAGCAATGTTTAAAAATTCAACTTTTTATGTATTCTTTTACTTTTTAATATAACAGCGGGAAGCTGGTTATTTTTTTAAAATAATAAACTTAAAATTGTTTTTTGATCTCATACACTCGTTGCATATTGATCTAAGAAAATGTAACCAAAGTCCGCAAACATGATTTAAGTTCTCGTCTGACAAAGATGAACGAGAGTAGAACAACCCGCGGGCCGAATAATAAGACTTTTTCTAAACTCGTTGCGGGCCGCAAAAAACAAGACCGCGGACTGAATGTCCGTTGGGCAGGCCTGATTTAAGACCTGACATGATTTCATGATACTGCTATGATGAAATGGTACCCCATACCTTTAACAAAGGCGTAGTCCAACGTCGAAATAAACTTGACCCATGTGAGTCTCATCTACAGTGTATTTTTTTTTTTAATATAGATCATTATTATGGAAACTTTCCGAATATGTATCTGATCTTTTCGGAAAAAAAAAATGAACATTCGTGATTTAAGCCTCGTTCTCAGATGAAATAGTCCTCCTGCCAAATTTCATTAACAATCAAGTGTATAAGGTCCGATGCAGTATTCCTATCGCACCCACCATCATCATCGCTATCCCATCATATGGAAATTCATCCAAAATTATCCCTTGCAGGTCCAACCGACCGAAATTGACTGCTCATTATGCTGCATCGGACGTACAAAAGCTCATTGATGAAATTCCACGTTTGATTTTTGCATTTCACACAAAGCATCCAATTGCATTCCCACCCACTGAGATTCGACGGTGCTAATGGAGCCTTGTGTGCAATGTTCGCAATGTGTACCGTTCTCAATATATGCACAACACTTATGTTAAGCGATCCTCATCACTGAAACGCATCTCTTGTTTTCCCCGATTGCAGACCTATTTTGCTTTTGACTCCCGAGCGGAACAACAGATGGAAGTGTTCAATCGATATGGTCCTCATCCGGAGCTCTACCCGAATCGACGAGGCGAAGTGGTGCAAGGGTAAGGATGGCAGGGAAAGGAAGTATTTCGGAATATTTGTGCCGTGCTGTGCACATGTTTAATGCGTACTTCTCCCGAACCGTTTCCCATACATATTTGCATTGCTCGGATAAGGCTTGACTGCTGCATATCATAATCAAAATGCATGGCGAAGGATATGCATCAGTTCCCTGTGAAGCGAGCTTTTACCAAAATTGATTTATTCAATGAATATAAATAACCTTTTAAAGTTGATGAAATTTATGCATATTTTTGTTTCATTTTGCTGTACGACGACAAACAGCTCTTACTGCGAGCGGGAATTTCGCGATTGCCGACTACAAACGTGCTACGTACAATCACCCGCTTACCCGGGAATTTATCCGAGGGCGCTAAAGTGTCGATACCGACTGCACACCAGATTGCCCTTCATCAAGCTCTACATCCAGAACGAGCAATTTGCCGTCGATGGTCAGAGGTGAGAAAACATCCTCAAGCAATGCTTTGAAATTCATCGTAATTAACTTTAACCGTTTGTATGGCTATGTATGCAATTTGCAGGTGCGAAAACATCATGACATGTCCGATGAAGGAGATTGGATCAGGATCCGAGCACTGCCCGTACGACTGGCTAGCGGTTTACGACGGGAAAGACGAAAAAGCATCGCCGATTGGGAAGTTTTGCGGAATGGGGAAATTTCCTTTCAGCATCATAGGTATTTGCCCGGCCAATATTTGTTGATTGAGGATTGAATAATATCACTTACTTCCAGGAACGTCACAACATATGTACGTTGAGTTCGTGTCATCGCCGGCGGGCCCCCTGCTCAACACGGGATTCCATTTCAACGTAGGAAACTGGCCGGGTCATGTGGAAACCGTCGGTACCAAGCACGGCGCCTGCGATTGGCTGCTCAGCTCCGACGCACTGAAGGCAACGAGTGCTTCTGAAGGAATTTTCCTCAGTGTGGCACATTGGTATCCACCCAACACGTCCTGCAGCTATCACATTCAGGGAAATGAAGGGGAAGTTGTTCGACTGTATTTTCCAAGGTGAGTGATGCGACACATTAGCTAGGAACAAAATTACGACGATGCATAGCACCTGCGGTTCGGACGTCATTAATCTTTGCAATGATTTGGCTTTTTGGAAACAGCAGTTGTGGGTGAGATGGGAAGCTACTCAACAGTGTGGTTTAGGGTATGACTTCTGGTTACTTGATTTCATGTAAACGGGTATCTTGTAAATTATTGCACACTAATTACGATTTAATTACTATACGGCTTGGCACCAGTTCCAACCCAGTGCCAAACCAAACTTTTTGTCAGTGCGTCAGTAGGTCACTCATAGACTGAGTAAAAAATTTCTCGGTTTTCCAGGAAAAACTTTTTGAATATGATGAACTTCTTCTTTCCATTATTTAACGTCGGTCTCTGTTCCGCAATCTAGTGCCAATCACCGACGAACATCGATTGCCATCCATTGACGGCAATCGAATGTGCAGGAAGGCAGCTTCCACACCTGCGTACGATATCGCACCCATTCAACACACATGGGCCGGGACCAACGGCTTTACTTCCCTTCCGAAGGAAGACGTGACCAGAGATTTTTATGCCTAAGAAAATCCCACCGACCTCGGCTGGGATTGAACCCAGACCCATCGGGGTGTTATTAGATAGCAGTCACGCTTACCACTACCCCACCTGCGCCGGTAAATATGATGAACATCAAGAGAGGTTTCGATCAGTCTATTAGTATACTCCTAGACTGAGTAAAATGTTCGTCAATTTTCCTCATAGGGTCATACAAACAGAAAAAAAAAACGCAACAAAACATTGAGGTACTTTATTTAAAAATTCATAAGGCTTCCCCTTGGATGCCGCTATGAATTGTATATGAAACAGTACACAGCAAAAAATTAAATTTTAGTATTACATTAAAGAGATGCACTTCAATCACGTCGAAAATCTCATGTAATTTTTATAGCCACAAAAATAAACAAATGCAATAAAAGCAGCGTAATGTCAGTTCATGCACTGTATTAATGATAATTTTGTCCTTTTTGGCAAGTTATATTACACTATATTTTTGACACGATTGAAGTGCATCCACTGAAAATAAAAATTCGTTTGTACAACGAAATCGCTCGTTTGTTCTACGAATTTATTCGTTGTTTTCTGCAACAAAATTGATTTGTACATTTGTATGAAGCTGTCACACTCGCTATCGCTACACCCAACCAGCGGGCCACAAGTGTTGGTTGTGGAAACCGAAAAATGTGGAGTTTGTTAGTGAGGATGGGTAGAAATAACTTCATCATTGGAAGGAATAAACATGACAAAAAAATAGAAATAGACTTCAGATCGAACTAGAATCATGAACCTTGCGATCGTCAGATCTGTGCTTTATCCATCCCTCTATCTGTCCTACGAGAAATGGTAAAGCTAAAGGCAATTAAGAAGCACTCATGGAACGGTAATTCGATATCGTTTGCTTTTTCTGATGCTTGCATGTATTTTTTTTTCTCTGACATAAAACCACCGCCACCAGTAATTTGATTTATTGTGGTAGCTTGCATGTATTGGTCAAACCGACAATATTTCAAGAAAAAAATGTATCCCATCTCCATCACACAATCAGTACTTTAGGAGACAAGAAGCGCAGTTGATGGTTTGATTGGACGAAGTTGAATTTATATATTATACGAATAAGGCGTAATATCATCATTGCACCGGATGACAGGAAAAACGAATGTTTCGTACCATTTATAAAATATGTGTTTTATGTACGATATTCATTTTTACAAAACGGTTTTCAAAGAAATAACGGAAATACATTTTCAGTGTATAAATAGTATTAAAACAATATAAATACGGATGTAAATCCTTTAAACGAAGAGATAGCGTTCTAGCTCCTATAGAAAAAATGTGCATTTTTAGAGCACTTACAACTTTGTACAACATTGAAAAAATTGTTAAATTCAAACAAAAAAATAGTGGTAAAAAACGGTTTTTAAGGGGGTACTACCGTTTGTACTCCATTTTCACCCTATAACTTCGTCCAGTTTAGAGATAGAAAATTGTCGTCTTCGACAAAGTTACAACGTTTCCATTGATGTTCATCAATTTTAACAAGACATTTTTTTATCTGAGTATATACCTTAAGCAAAAAATTTCACCAATCAAATAAAGTTTGGGGTGAGTGGTGAACCCAGGCCCTTTGGGATGAGTGGCAATCATGCTTACCAGTACACCACCCGTGCCGCTTAAAAAACAGTCCCTGAAATGAGATTGCTGGATGTTTTTTTTTCGGCTCACTCTGGATCACTGTTATACACAACACATTATTTTATTAGTAATTTCACTTAGTCAATTGAGCGTTCTAAAAGTCAAAAACATTTTGTTGTTCCTCCACCGAGCGCAAGAGGAGATGGTGACGCAAAGCACAGGTAAAAACTGAACGAAAAACAAATTGAGTCAGTATTACATGCAAATAGAGCAGGAAATGTATTCAATTTGTCTCACTACTAAGTGGGTCGTTTGTGGATCACATTCATTAACTACGTATACAGTTTATGGGGGGGGGGGAGTGGCAACTATCAACGGCCCATACAAATTTTAAAAATTGAGTATGAACATTTGTCTTCGCAGGGGGAGGGGGAGTGCAAGAATCCCAAAAAACTGTTTACGTAGTTAATGAACAGCCCTAGTGAACGTTTTGTGTCATTGAAATTGTGATTTATTGCTGAAAAAGGATTTATTTGCTCGATAGCCCGAGTTTACGGGCTAGGTCTAGTTTACATCCCGTAGCCCTATTCGCAGATTTTTACGGAAAACAACAAGGAAAAAATTTACTCAGCCTTTAGTGACGTTTTTGCGATTTTGCGTGAAAATCCATTCAATTTTGAGTTGACCTCATCGGCCGTTCATTACTAGGGTAATTGATTCAGGTTGGACCTATCCAAAAACTGATGATGGTTGGACCTATTTTTTCAATCGCTAGTTTAGTCAATCTTCGCAATTTTTTTTTTTTTCAAAGATCACTTTACTATCATAAAAAAACTCATTTTCTTTAATTTGCATAGGTGTTTTGTTGAAAAAACTTCAAAACAATTGAGTTTCAATGTGTTATCAAAACAGTTCACTTTCCACGCATTAGCTCGTCATTATGCGTTACTTTCAAACATACAAAAAAAAAATAATACTACTTTAAGGTTTAAACAACACGATAGTATGCCATTTATCCATTGGTTTCACTAAAATGTTTGAATAATTGACGAAATTCGAATAGATAAATATGATCATGGTTGGACCTACGCATGATGATGGTTGGACCTATGTGTTTCCTAAGACGGCCGCTAGGTGCGCTTCGGTTTGTCTACATCCTTCATGCACAGCTGATTTAAAATTCGATTTCGTTTTGGCCGAGTGATCAGTTTCTTCGATTGAAAAAATGGCTAAAGAAAAGAGTTATACGGTCGAAAATCTTCAAGAGGCTAGGCTGTTCTTTTAGCAAGAAATAAATCCCTTACCGCGTACCAGGCACAGAAAAGGTAAAATATTCCGAAAACGACACTTCACGCAAAAATTAAGGGAAGCCACGGCAAGAAATATGAAAGGGAAATAGTGTTGAGTGTTGATTTGGAGAACCAGTTAGGGGATTGGGTTTGTATGTGCACTGCTTCTGGTAGTCCCAAGACGACCAAAAAGATCTTGGAAGCTGCTAAAGACCTTGCGTCACTAGTTGGGCGTAAATTTAAAGGAGGAATTCCATCGTCAGGTTGGCTGAAAGGGTAAACACCGATTTCCGAACTACCACGAAAGCGCCGAAAGAATCTGTTAATATGAATTTACATTAAGCACTTCTCATACACCTTCTGTGTGTGAATTAACTTGAAATAAAATGTTAACAAACTAAAAATTGTTAACTGAAACTTATTTCCGAAAAAAAAAACTCCTAGGAGAAAAAGAACTATAAAACCGGAATTATGTTCTGATATTCGGTCATTTTAAGCCCCTAAATTCCCCGGGGCACCCAGAACATGCCCGGAAGTGGCCAATGTGGTCCAAGGCACTCAATTTTGTTATTGATCTTGTTATCGAATTTGGAAGTAATGTGAAGTGTCGCATGTTAGGTTTCATTCCTGCCATGTCAAAATTAGGTCCATGTTCCGTATACCCTGGAACTTGTTCCGGCCATATCTCCGGAACCAGTTGACCGATTTCAAAAATATTCGATAGCTTTCAATGAGACCACAATACCTATAGTTTGACGTTAAAAATTTTCCAAATCTGGTCAATTATTTCCGAGAAAATGAGCCATGATGAATAGCTAATGCGTGGAAAGTGAACTTTTTTAAAAACGAAGTTAAACTCAAATTTCTTGATTTTTTTAAATAGCAAATTCATAAAAACTGTATAAAAGGGTTTTTTCATGATACCAATAAGCTCTAAACAAAGTTTTTGAACAAATATGGGCTAAACTAGCATTTGCAAAAATTGGTCCAACCATCATCATTTTTTAGGTCCAACCAAGATCAGTATAGGTCCAACCAACATCATAATTCTTTGCTGAATAAAAACGTTTTATAAAATCATTTGTTCATAATATTTAACTTTTAATGTTATTATTAGAAACAAGAAAGGTAGATCTTTCCCCTAATCACGCATTTTTTATGCATTAATATGTTGAATTCATAAAAAAATACGACATGAATGTTGACGTCGTGTGAAACCGGCCTAAATAGGTCCAACCATCATCAGTTACCCTATTATGATAAGAGCCTTCGAATGACGAGATGAACTAGCCTACGGACAAAAATAACAAAAAAATAATGTTAAAAAAAATCCTTCGAAAAACTATCTCTTGATTAGTCAGTAACTGTCAGTTATATTTAAGAGTGGTCCAGAGATGATTTACACGGCGAATGAGAACGACCCAAATTTTGAGATTAGTTTACTCTTAAATCACATAAAGTGCAGGATCTCACCGAAGAGAAAATTTGCCTCATGTTTTTCCAGGTTTTTCGGGAAAAATTCTTGAATATGAGAAT